TTTTGGTTTTGTCAAAATGCGGTAAGTTATTTCGTTAACATTATTATTATATAAACTTATTAATCTTTTCACATGTCATTAATATTTATATAATTTCCATTTTCTAGATATATAATCAAAATACAATACAAATTATAAATATCGCCGTTATCAATTATCTTTGTGCACTTTTCGCTATAGTGCAAATTGTTGAAATTGATATATGGACGACTAAAGCAAATGAATGTATACCTGAATATTTTAATTATAATGCAGCTATTGCAGCTTATGAGGCTCCATTAATAATAATGTTAGTAATATGTGCGACATTACAAGTCTTCTTTACTTGGAAGTTATATCAACAATTTGGTTGGAATATTTATAAAAAAATTGGCGCTGACCTTAGGATGCAAAGTAATTCTATATTTTATATTATTTCGATTCTTTTACGTTAAATTTATTAATCATCAAATTAATTTGTTCTTAATTATAATAGGAATTTACCGAACAATGTTGATTTTCGTTATGTTGTTAAAGATTGATCTTTTCTTTATGAATTTTTTGGCTATTGAAGGCTGTATTGTAGCACATCCAGGTCGTTTAAATCAAAACCTTAATGAGGGATTATATTACTTTCATGTTTGTATAACGATTATAATTGTTTTTTTACAATTACTTGTTTGGCGCTCTGTAAGTATCTTTATAATTTAACATATTTTTTTTTACCGTTATAAGTTTTATATTAATTAATTTTGAATAAAAAATTTTTTAGTTACGTAAAGAATCTTCATTAGGAATGAAGATTTTTATTGGGGCTTGGATTGTTTGTATCGCAGACTTAATAATACTACTTGTAGATTCCATAAAACCCTCTAGCGATGAGAGTTGGTACTTTTTCACCTGTTTTAGTAAGTAAAAAAAAATAGAATTTTAATGATTTTTTTTTTTTATTTTTATTTGTTATTTTAATTATATTTTTCTTTTTTTTATCGTGTACTAGTTGGTGTCGGAATTGTTATGGGTTTGGTATGTACATTACGTGACAGTCGCTTTCAATCTGTTTACACGAAATTAATCATTATCTCATAAAACATTTCATATAGGTAACATTGCTATGGTCAATATTTTTATTAAGAAACTTTGGAAAAGGTCTAAAACCACATCGTACGTAAATCGTTACTTTAAATAAAATCAACTAAAAAATTAAATGTATATTTATTAACATTTTGTCATGATTATATTTTATAGTCTCTAGACGAAACAATTTGAACAGTTTACCTATGCATCAGTCTGATAACGTAACAGATCATGTACAACATATAGGATCTCCACCACGCTGGGCTATTGATGATTAAGGGAATAAATATTCCATCTAAAAAGGAACATTTTTATATAAATTTTTTTCCATTGTTTTTTATCAATAATATTTAATCAACTTTTTGTAATTTGGTGAAAAAAAAATGAAGAGAAAAGATTCAAACGTGTATATTTAATAATTGTATACAAATTCATAATGAAGGAGACAAAGAACGAAAGTATAGAAAGGTTTCCATTATTTCGTCTTATTTTGAAACCTACAAATAATGTACTTTTCTTCTTTGTGTTTCTTCTTTTTCATATGTATCTTTATATTCTTACTTGTATTATTATTTAAAAACAAAAGAAAAATTCAAATGTATACTATTTAGATTTAATCAAAATAAAAAAAAGAATACAGTACCGCCCCCCCCCTGCAAAATGCCAAGAACCCGGTACTCCTGTTACTAATATTACAGTAGTACTCCCAAGCTATTACTCAATTAGCTTAGTTACCGGGATACGATATTCATCCGATTTTTTAAATAACAAAAATGCGCGTTAAATACTGTCATGTGATCATATTAATAATCTTAGATCAATAGATCAGTTACTCATCAGTCGATTCATTATGTTTATTAAGGCAATGAGTTTATAGGTTACAAGTATTTTAAAGTTAGTAAGACATATGGTTGACACTTTATAATTGCCATTTTCAATACATGACGTTTTTGTACAATCACCTTTACGTATAAATACATAACAAAATTCCCTTTATTTTCAAATACGCGCTTTCACACAAAAAAAAGTTTCATTAAATAATTATCTTAATTGTCTTGTCTTCTAGTTAACTTTTATTTTATACGTAATTATTTCTATATAAAATGCCACCAAAGAAAGATTCAACAAAGGATACAAGAGCTAGTAAGAGTAAGGAGAGTAAGGAGAGCAAAGAGAGCAAGGAAACCAGCGAAACTAACGAACCTACTGAAACGACCGAACCAGCCGAACCGAGTACGTATATTTTATGATTTTTTTTTTTTTTTTTTAATATTTCCGTACTTGATACGCGTACGACGTTATCATTGATTTCATTGATTTTACGATAAATTTTTTTTTCTTTTGGTTTTATGTATATTGATTTAACGTGTACTTTTTTTATAATATATAGCAAAAAGAGCACCAACTGCTTACAATGTTTTTATGAAAACTGAACTTCCTAAAGTTAAAGCCGAAAATCCTGGTATGGGTCACAAGGAGGCGTTCAAGATGGCTGCTGGAAGATGGAAAGATAGTGATGCCAATCCTAAGGTATAGTTGTTTAATTAATATGTCCTTTGTTTTTTTTATGATCTAATTATAACGATTTTATCATTTTATTTTTTAGAATAAAGCCGGATAAGGACATCTGTATGTTACTAAATTTGATTAATTCATTGGATATGTAAGCGTTGCTTATTGATTTAAATTTGCATAATTTGCAATTTGCGTAGTTTTTGTATAGTTTTATTATAAAAAGACGCGATACTTATTCACTTTTTTACTTCTATTTATTAGGATTATACGATCATTTCTGTTTGCTAATCGAATAGCATATTATTTTATTGATAGCTTTTATTTACATATATGCATTAGTACATTTTAGTACATTTTCTTTGTAAAAATGAAATAAATGAAATAAATTTCTTTCTGTGATCATAGCTTAGTTATCTAAATATTATTTTGGTATTTGATCCGTCTTAAACCACAGTCCATATATAAAGTATCTCAATGATTTTGTACCTAGAACTCCAGAAGGCAGAAGTGATCCTGACTATCTGTATAATGTAATTGAACTTTGAACATAATTTCGACAACTTTTGAGTCTTACTATTCGCACGAACTTTAATTATAAAATTTGATTATGACTACTTTGACATGTGATCATATAAGAAATTATATAAGGGTTGATCGACAAAACACTTCGCGTCTTAGAAAGAAAACTTTCGGTATTCTCTATCTACTTCTCAATATAAACAAATTATGAGTGGATTAGTAGATTATGAATTCTCGGATAATGAATCAAATAATGAAAATAATGAATCAAATTTATTACTGGTTGATTATACAACTAACGAAGAAGAGGAAATGTTTGAAAAAGGGGAAGAATGGGAAGAAAACAGTTTTGGGGAAAAGGTACTGAAACGCAAAGAAATTGACACTCTAGACGAGGAGGAAATAGTAGCAAGGTAAATTTAATTTTTATTTGAATTTATATAATTTATATACATAATTTATATACGTGTACCCACTTGAATTTCAATTTTAGTAAAAAAAGAGGATCAATATTTAAAGGAGAATCTCCACAAATAGATTTACCCCCACTGCCTTCAGAATTTTTACAATTGTATCCAGGCAAGTAAGTGTATTTTTAATTGATTAATTATTTAATTATTTTTTGAATTTTTTTTCTATTTTCCTAAATATATTTATATTCTATTTATTAATTTAGATAAGAAAAGGAAGAATTATACTAAACATATTGATGATCCATCGAAACATCAGGGTCGAGTAAGATCTAAACCACATGTTGAAGGCGATTGGGCCACTCATGTTTATGTCGAAGGTAAGCACGATTAATATATATCATTTAAATTTTATAATTTCTTTTTATTAAATTCAATTGAATTTTAGTTACAATTACAGAGGAAGTGGGTCACATTATAAATAAAATTGAAGAACTAACAAAAAAAATCGTTAGTGAAGATAGTATTAAAATTATTTCATGTATTGAAAATCATAACAGAGATAATAACAATCCATCAGATCATAACGATTATTATGAAGAAGCTAAATTACATATTAGTTTGTCAAGACCTTTATTTTTAAAATATCATCAAATTGAACTGTTTTGGAACAAACTTAGAAAAGAATTCTTGAATAGGAAAAGGTAAAGATACCGTATATATTACTATTATTATATTAATTTATGAAATTATTTGATTAATTTGTCCAATTTTTTTTTTTAAAAATAATAGGTTTACTTTATCATTTTCTAATATTACTAGTTTTTCTAATGATGATAATACTAGATCTTTTATGGCTTTACAAGTTGGTAAAGGAACAAATGAGGTATGATATTATAAAAAATTTTTTTTATTTCGCCGATTTATTTTTTAATTGAAGAAATTTTTTTTCATTTAGTTGAAAATGATGGTTGATTCTATTAATAAAGTGGTCAAAGATTTTCGACAAACCCCATTTTACGAGGTAAAAGCATAAATTATTTATTTATCTACTAATTAGTTCAATTATTTGATCCCGTTTTTTTTTAATAGAATCCACAATTTCATGCAAGTATTCTATGGGCACTTGGAGAATCAAGTATAGATCACTCTTTATGTGAGACAATTAAAGAAACTGAATACTTTGAATCGATAATACAACATATTTTTAATATTGGAAATATATTTTGTAAAATAGGAAATAAGATGTATACTATAGATTTAAAATAAATTTTACAAATGGAAATGATAAATTATATAATAAAATAATCATTTCGTTTAATTAATAAAAATTATATTCCTATTTATTATAATTTTTGATAATGTAAATTAATTATTAAAGAATTCTTTTTCCCCCCTGAGAACATTTTATCATAACGTAAAAAATTTACGATATAATTTTAAAAATTATATGCATAAAAAAAGATGAAAAAAAAAGAAAAGAAAAAGTTTGATTACAAGTGGAGAAGCTGGGGATCGAACCCAGGACCTCTCGCATGCAAAGCGAGCGCTCTACCACTGAGCTACATCCCCAAGTGATATGAAAATATAATAAAATAATACATTAAATAAATTTTTTTTTTAAATTTAAGGAAATTCATCACGTTAAAGAATTTTCTTTTTGGTAAAGCTTTGTTTCTCATTAATATATTTGCATTTTTACATGATACTGTTTATTTTTATTTTTATTTTTTTTAAAATGAAGATTATCTTATTCTCTCTTAAACGTTATATAACATTTATTACCGATATATTATTGAAAAATGATCTTTATATTGGATCCGTTGATGTATTTTTGATTCTAAAATTGAAAATTCGATTCTTGGACTGCAACTAATCATACTAATCATATTCAAAGAAAGTGATATTAATTGATACTTCGTTCTTTCTATCCGCCTTGCACAAATCAAACATAATAAACTGAAACTTACCTTTAAAAAGCCGTTAAACGAAGATAAAATCAACTTTTTACCCACGTGACTTGACTGTGACTATCAACAAAACAAATTAATAACGCGTTTTTTTTTTGAACTTCCTTTCATTTATTTTTTAGGGACAGCCTTTTGGACTTCGAAATGGGCGAAATGGAGGTATTTCTTTTATTTTTTTTATATTTTATTTTTGTTATTTTTTATTTTAGAAATATTGCTAATATTTCTTTATTTTTTTGGAACAGCTTCTTGAACTTAGAAATGGGCAAAATGAAGGTATTTTTTATATTTTTATGTTTATTTTTTTTTGTCTTAGAAATGTTGCTAACGTTTCTTTTTCTTTATTTTTTTTTAGAAACAACCTCTTGAACTTTGAAATGGAGGTATTTCTTTTTATTTTTATTTTTTATATTTATAACTAATTGCTACCCGTTGCTTTGCAACGGTTTTTAGTCATAATTTTGCCAAATTTATTTGTCAAACTTATAATTTTAGATTAAAATTCTATAATATTTTATTTTATCTATAATTTTTAATTCCGGCCAGAATTATGAAAGTATGCATATCAATTTTCTTTTTTGGAAATTTGTATAATTTGTACTACCATTTGATTTTCGCGATTATATAGATTTTCAAGTGTTTTTTTATTATAAAAATATCAATAGTTTTAACTTTTAATATTAAAAATAATAGAAAACTAAAAAACTGCAAAAAATAATTTTTAAAAAAATAACAATACAATAAATATATTGAAAAGTAAAAAATAAAACATAAAAATTTATTTATAAAGATATTTATAATAGTTATAAAATTTAAAAAAGTGAAAAAAAATATATATTTTTGTTAATAATTATAGGTAAAATTCAATAGCTTTGAATGACAAAAAAATAAAGTTAGAAATGATAGTTAAATTATTTGATAATAGTTCTATTTTAAAGTAATATAATAATTAAAAAAAAATAATTAATTTTAAAATATAATTGCATCATAATAAATATATAACTAGTATATATTACAAGATTTATACTATTTGATAATAATTATATTTTAAAGTAATATAATAATTAAATACAGATGTTTATTTTTATCATATAATTGCATCATAATAAATATATAACTAGTATATATTACAAGATTTATACTTATTATATTTATATAATCATTTTCATTAATTTTTTGATGAAAATTTTTTTGTTTAAATTAAATAATACATTTAGAAAGAATTTTATATTTTTAATAAAAGAAAATATAAATTAATAAAATAAATAAATCTAAGAAAAAAAAGAAAAATCTCGTAACTTTAATTTCAAATTTGTTAAAGAGAAAAAAAATATTCTGCTCATTATTAAAGTAATAAAGTTAGTTTTGAATTACCTAAAAAAAAAATACAGTATAAATTAATAGTATAAATAATTAAAAATTTTTTAAATAATATATAAGTACATTATTATAGTTTATATATATATAATATTATTATGGAAATATTATAATTATAATAATTTGCTATATAATCATTTATCATATATTTCAGAAATTTTCAGTTATATAATTTATATTTTTATATGTAGTAAAATTTATTATAATACTATTAGTTTTATTATATTTTTTTTAATAATTAGAATTATATATAATAATAATATTAGTTAATATTAAATTAAGAAATTATCTAAAATCAAATATAATTTATAATTTTTGGCTAGCATTATAGCATTAAAAAGTTAACTATATAACAAATACTTAATAGGTAATAAACAGAAAAAATTTTCAAGTTTCTAAAATACATAATAAAATAAAAAATTAAAAATATAATATAAAAATAACAAATTATATTAAACAGTAAGTAAAAAAAATACATTAATATTTGTTATTAATAGGAAAAAAAATCTTTTTATTTATTTTAACTTTAGTTTTCTTTGCTTTTTTTTGTAAAAATATATGTAAAATAAAAGATATAAGAGTTTTGAAAAGTTTTTTTTTTTTTTTTTTAATAAACTAATTTTATACAACTTATTTATTACTTTTTATTATTATTTTATTAGATTTATTCAATTAAAGTTCTTAAAAAGCAAATAAATTTTTTAAATAAGGTAAAAGGATTCTGAAATCTTCTTGAAAATATTTTTTTTTGGTGAGAAATGTAATTTTAAAATATTTTTTATGATGGGTTTTATATAAATTATATAATCATTAATTTCTCAGCATATATATATATAACTGAATGATTTTATATTTATTTGAAAGGTGAAAACTTGCTTCAGCTTAGAAATCAAAAAGCAATAAGATTGGATCACTGTATGTGGGGATATTAACGATCAAGTAAAAAAATTAAAAATTAATGCATTGAACGCATTTATTCAACAACCAGTAATTATTTTCATCCAATTTTGGATTCATTAAATAGGTCTTGTTTTCTTCTTTCAAATGAATATAAATTCATCCNTNTANCNTATGTATAACCCAAGATATTNNCAANTTTGTCATGAGNATTATATTNNNATTTTATAATTTTAATGTTACTTATATTAAAAAAAATCAAAGTTCAAATAAATAATTGATTTTGCATATCAGATAATATAGATCCATCATTGTCACATAACTTTTAATGTTGCTTTCATTTGGCAAATCTATTTTGTGGATATGGCACATAATTCCACAAATTGGTGCATATATCTAGTTTTTTGATTTAAAGTTTTATAAATAAAATTAAAACAAACTTTTCTTTATTGTTTAACTTAATTAGTTTAAAGGTATTTTATTTTTATTTTTTTTATAACATTTTTAATATTTTTTTATTAAAATTTAATCAATAAATTAATTTAGAAAAAAATTTTTTGATATAGGAGGATATATATATTTTACCCTTCATATAATTTTCTGATTATGTAAATTTAAAATAAAATGCAATTTTAATGAAATTTATTAAATACAAATTTTGCACCATATAATAAGAAATTGCAACACTTAAAGTTTTAAATCAATACTTTGATAATATTTGCAATACAATAAAATATTTGCCCTTTCACATTTTTGGTGACCAAAAGAAACCAGACTTGAATTACTACTGTAATTTGAACTATTTTCACTTATTCTTCCTTAAACATTTTCTTTATCATATTCAATATTTATTATTTTACACTTTTCAAAACAATTTTGTGAATCATAAAACTATAATTTGCAAATAGAATATTGTCTTTTATTTCTTTTTTTTTCATATCTGAAATTTCTTCTTGAACATTATTGCTTTTATTACTTGAATTGTTTTCAAAAGTCAATAGATACCTTTTATTAGAAGGTCTCCCCTTTTCTTTATGTTAAAGTAAATTTTTAATACAGTCAGACCCCTCTATAATCATCAGGTCCATTACATCAAAATTGGTGATTATATAGGAGTGTGATTATATAGAAGTAAAAATAGATTTGCAATATTACAGATAATTGCAGAAATTAAGGTTTGATTCCGCAATTTCAGCTGAAATTAATATAATTTTAACTGAAATTATATATTATAAATTTATTAAAGTATAATTTTGCTAATATTGATACTAAAATAATAAAATTACTATCATTTGAATTCTCTTATTGTGACAAATCAAATGGTAAAAAATCTATTGAAATCCAATCATTGGATCATCCAAAATTTGTTAAATATTTATTTAGTTTTATCTTCATTAATATTGATAATCGAATGATAAAATTACCACATTTGAATTCTCTCATTGAGGTAAATCAAATAGTATAAATTTTATTAAATTCCAATTATTAAATCATAATTTATTTCCAAAATTTGTTAAATATTTGTATAATTGTATCTCTGTTAATATTAATATTAGAAAGACAATATTTATACTATTTAATTTAATGAGAGAATTCAAATAATATAAATTTTATCAAAATCTAATCACTAGATCTCAAATAATTTGTGATTTTGAATTTTATATAAATCACGTAATTGGAATTGTGAAATTGCAGATTACTATGCACAATTCAATTCAAAATTTCACAATATTACGAATTTGAAAAAATAATTGCAGCATTACAAAGGAAGATATACAAATTAAAAAACAATTATTTTTAAATTAACAATTTATACATAAATTATAAAATTTTATTGTAAAATAGTTTGTAAAAATTTTTTACTAGAAGTAAATACTGTGCAAAATTAAATAATTATTAAAAATTTATGACCAATCAGAAATTATGTGATTATAAAGAAATTTTTATATTAATAAAACTAATATGTACATTACAATTATTTTTAGTATAGTAATTATAATATATATGTAATTAAAAAAGAGTTTTTTAACTAATTTTAAGTCAGTTATATAAAAATAGGTACTTATAAAAAGATGCAATTATATAAAAGGTGATTATATAAGGGTTTAATTGTACTAAAAATTCTAGCTTCATTACTAAACATAGCATTTTGAACATTCATTTATATTTTAATAAACTGTTTTAAAAGCTCTTTAAAAGTCTAATAAGACTTATTTTAATTGTCATATTTAAAACTTTTATACAAAGCTTAAACTATAAGGCCATGACCATATTGTTTTTTTTTTTAAGTCTAAATATTTAGCAGAATTACTATAAATATTTTGATCC